CTTAAAATAATGCAGTTAGGGTCTATCCATGTCACAAATGGCGGAGTTTTCTTTTTATGGCTGAATAATACTCCATTTTACATATACATGGTAGGACAAAAGTAGGTCTATGGTTGTTCACATGAAAAATAATACAATAATTAATCAATAATAACAAAAATAAACTCTTTGTTTTGCATACTCACAACTGTAAATCTTCTTTTGCCTCACCCTGTGTAACACATTTTCTTTATCCATGCATCTGTTGATGGACACTTGAGTTGTTTCCATATTTTGGCTTCTGTGATTAATGCTGCGATGAAAATGGGAACACAGGTATCTCTTTGAGATCGTGATTTCATCATCTTTGGGTATATGTACCTGGAAGAGGGATTGCTAGATCATATGGTAGTTCTATTTATAATCTGAATAGCCTCCATACTGTTTTTTTGTAGTGACTGCATCAATTTACATTTCCACTAACAGTGCACCAGGGTTCCCTTTTCTCCATATCCTCGCCAGTACTATCTCTTGGCTCTTTGATAATAGCCTAACAGGTGAGATTATATCTCACTGTAGTTTTGATTTACATTTACCTGATGATTAGTAATATGAGCACCTTTATATGTACTAGTTGGCCATTTTTATGTCTTTAGAAAAATGTCTGTTCAAATCCCCTGTCCATGTTTTAATCAGATTGTTTGCTATTGAGATGTATCAATTTCTTATATATTTTGGATATTAACCCCTTATTAGATAATGGTATGCAAATATTTCTCCCATTCTGTAAGTTGCCTTTCATTTTGCTGATTGTTCTTTTTCTGTACAGAGGCATTTTTAGTTTGATATCCCACTGGTTAATTTTTTGCTTTTAGTGCCGCATCCAAAAAGTCATTGCCAAAACTAACATCAAGAAGCCTTTTTCTGAAGTTTTCTTCTAAGAATTTTATAGTTTCAGGTCTTGCATTTAAGTTATTAATCCATTTTGAATTAATTTTTATTGTTATAGTGATTCAATTTCATTGGAGGGGATGGATTTAAAATAAGAATAGGGTGGTCAGTAATTGATGGTCACTTGCATATGGGCTTCAGGAGAAGGACTCAATAATAGTACTCAGGCCGAAACCGGTTTGGCTCAGTGGATGGAGCATTGGCCTGCGGACTGAAGGGTCCCGGGTTCGGTTCCGGTCAAGGGCATGTACCTGGGCAGCTGATCGATGTTTCTCTCTCATCGATGTTTCTAACTATCTCTCTCCCTTCCTCTCTAAAAAATCAATAAAATATATTTTAAAAAAATTTTTTTAAATAAAAAAAATAATAGTACTCAGGTTTCTGGCTTTGGTGACTGGGGAGATGAGGTATCCTTCCTTATATTGATTGATTTTATTGATTTGAGAAAAATACCCATATGTTGTTCCACTTATTTATGCTTTTATTGGTTGCTGCTTGTATGTGCCCTGACCAGGGATCAAATCTGTAATCTTGGCATACCCGGACGATGCTCTAACCAATGGAGTACCCAGCCAGGGCTAGATATCCTTTTTTAAAAAATAGGGATTAAAAACAGGGTACTAGATTTCTCAGATAAAATTAATGATTTTTGAATTTGAGATGTGTACAGAATTTCCATGTGGAACTCTTTAGTAGGAAGTAGAAGGAGTGAGTCTGGGAATTAGGAGAGAGCTCTGGGCTGGAACTGTAGACTTGAAAGTCATAAGGATTTAGTGAGAGTTAAGAGCACGGAGGCAGATAACATCACCCAGGAAAGTGTGCAGTTAAAGGAGCTGTGCATTCACAGCACTTGGCAGTAGGTACTCTAGAATGTTGGAACAAATGAAGGGTACAAGGGTACAGTCTCATTTCAACCTCATAACAACCCAAAGTTAGGAGTTTAATACAAATGAGAACATTTCAGGCTCAGCGAGGTTAAGTGACTTTGGTTCTAAGTGGTCAAAGTGGGATTTCTAGTCCAATCTGTATGGTTTCAAAGCTCCCCCCCCTTTTTTTTTTACCGTGTCTTCTTTGTCAACCTCCAGTTTAAATAATATGTTATCATTAGTTTTCTTTATTTACCTCTGCCAATATCCTGGCTTAGTAGGATTGTGATACATCCTTTTAAATAACTGGTGTGTGTGTGTGTGTATGTGTGTTTCTAATTTCCTCTGCTTCATTCCCGAACACATTTATCAGATTGACTTATCATACTCAGTTCTAGTCCAATGCCTACCTTAAAACAACAGACTTGACAGAAGTCCTCCACTGGCTACTGGGAGAGGTCTGTCCTCCTCAGCATGGTATTCAGGCTCACCATAAAACCACAAGAACTATTCAGAACTTTTCCGTATTTCCCAGTTCTCATCAGCACATATTCATGTCTTTGGGTGGTGTTTACATGCAGATTTTATTGTGGTGGTCTCGATGTTCTTTATAAGGATTTCATTTTAATGTTTAAATTAAATTTTAATCTTTAGATTTAATTACTCTTATGTTTACTGTTACATTTTTCTAAAAATGACTTTATCGTTGTGGCAACAGCAGCCTAAATGTCATCTGACCTTAGTTCCATATCTAGTATAGGGGTTTTTTGTCTTCTATTTCTAATGTGATGAGTTAGCTTTTGCTCCTACATTTTTCAAGAAGGATCCTTTTTATGAGGGGAGGAGAGAACAATTCTAATTGTTAGAAACTTGAAATTAGAAATATTTCTTAATATTGAGTCAAAATCCTTCTTTTAACATCTATTTGATTCCCAGGACCTGCCATAGGAACAACAGAGAAGTCAGTCCTTTCTCCTTTGCCTCACGAAGATCCATCCACTTAACTGCCAATGCGTCCAAAACAGAAACCATCCCCACATGCCACGATATTTTGAATTTAGCGTCTATAGACGTTTATGGCATACAAAGGGTTAAAGAAAGCTTAGTCTCTCTTTAGAGACATAAGTGAAATAATATTGTTTGCTTGGGCCTTTTCTCCTATGACAAGTCTTAAACTTCCTCCTCTGAGGATTCTGGAGTTTTGTTAGTGCTCCATCTTAAAACACAGGGCCCAGAGCAGAACATAGCACCCCGCAGGGGAGCAGTGCAATGTTATTCCTTTGATTAGGACTTTATGCATGTTTTTTTTTAAACAATAGTTTATTGATTTTTAGAGAGGAAGGAAGAGGGAGAAAGAGAGAAAAACATCAATGTGAGAGCAGAGCACCGGTTGGCTGTCTCCTGCACGCAGGGGATCAAGTCCGCAACCAGGACATGTGCTCTTGACCAGGAATCAAACCCGCAACCTCCTGGTGCACGGGATGACGCCCAACCAGCTGAACCACAGCAGCCTGGGCTATGCTTATATCTTAAAAGTCTGATATTGCTTCAGCTTTATAGCAACCATGTTACATTTTACATTCATTCACTTAAAATACCCAGATATTATTTTTACATAGGTGGTAGTTAAGCTAACTCTCCCTTGTCATCTGTGCAGTTGATTTTCTTTGATCTAATTATAGAACTTACTATTTTTCCTAGTTATATTTCATCTTCATTTTGACCCATCATTTTATCCAATTATAGTCATGTTATCCAGTGGGTTGTTAACTGTGTTTCCCAGTTTTAGGGCATCTGGAGATTTTGCAGCATACTTTCCATGTCTTCTGTTCAAGTTCTTGATAAACATCACAGAAACGGAGACTTGCCAGTGCATCCCCCAAGTTAATCAGTGCTACTGACAAATGGTTCTGTTAACCACTGTTCTGTCATCCATCTACATCTCTTCATTATATCGGCAAAGATCTCATTTGTACATTCAACAGATTTTTATTTAGCATGTACCGTGTGCAAGAAGGTGCTGGAGATAGAGTGAAGACAGCAGTCCCTGTTTTGTGGAGCTAACAATCTAGAAATAGCAGGAAGTATTTTGTTAAATGTTTTGCAGAAGATGGATTACACAATTCTCTATGATATTCTCCTTATCTGGTACCATATCAGAAAAGGGAATAATGAAGCATTACTTTTTGCAGAGTTTATATTGGCTACTAATGATCTGTCACCCGGAAATGGGATTCATTACCTTTCTCTTCACCTTTCATGGTCTCACAGTAATTCTGAGCTTTGGAAGGATTTGGAGTTCACTGATGTACTTTCTTTTGGCTCTATCTTTTATAGCCCTCACACTCCCCTACCCCCCACATTATCAGGGTCCTTTTCTATTTTTTAGTAAACTTAGTTATGAAGAATTTCTGACCACCTTTAGCCATTTTCTCTTCTACATTCTTTGTCGCTCAGATTTTATTTATATTTTATCTTTATATTTTGGAATGATCTTTCCTAAGGAAAATAACTGACTAGCCTCGGATTTTCTCTTCCTTTCTTTCTTTCTTCCTTTTTTCCTTTCTTCCTGTCTTTCTGTCTTTGTTTCTTGCTCTTAAGTCACTCTCTCCAGGATCCTGATCCTTTTCTCCTTTTCACTTAAACTACTTATTCCTTTATAATTCACCAGAATTAATCCCAGATGAGCATCAAACTGCAAAATTTTATTTGTATTCTGAGGTATTAAACTGTCAAAGTGCAAGTTTTTTTTATTAGGGTAATACAAAGAGCAGGTGTCCTCATAGTTCAAAGAAGATAGCCCACCTTCTTTGCAAGTGCAGGTTCTTGTGGTCAGTCAGTTGTCATCCATATCCGTCCTCTGGCAAATTCCTACAGCTCTATCATTTCTACCTAGTTTTCTTTCCCCTTTGGTTCAATATCCTGGGGGTTTTCACATAGATATTTATTTTCTTAAACAATTGTGAGGATTCCCTGCCTTATTCTATGGATCTGACTCTTTAACAGCAGATTTCCTATAGAAGTCATAGTCTATTGTTACTTATTATTACCCCATCCCACCAAGTCTTGGTGATTTCCATGAGATTTTATTTATCTCCTTGTTCTTTTTTACTATGGCTACTTTTAGGTATAGTGTCAAACACACTAATGTTCATTGAGTAATATTTATGATTAATCTCAAGAAGTATTTGCCTTCTTTTTTAGGCTGTGAGGATATCATTGCTGAGAGCATCTCATTAGATACCTTAATTGCCATCCTCAAGTGGAGCTCTCATCCATATGGCTCCAAATGGGTGCACCGACAAGCTTTACATTTCCTCTGTGAGGAATTTTCCCAGGTCATGACTTCGGATGTTTTTTATGAGCTCAGCAAAGACCATCTACTTACTGCTATCCAGTCTGACTACCTACAGGTAACCATTTATACACCTCTCAGATTCATTGTCATTCATATGTGCACCAAGAAACCCATCTGTACTCTGTTATTCTCCCATCTGGAGATCATCCTACCTAGGAATGCCCTCTTCACATTTGTACAACAAAGCCTTGTGGCTCTCTGGCCCTTTGTGCACTCTAACAACATTGTGAGCCCTCCTGGGTCCTGACTAACCACACCAAAGGGTTTGAGGCAGTAGGCAGGGTCAGAAGCACATCCCAACAGTGATTTTCTTGGCTTCCATGAGTAGTGAATTCACTATACATATACAGTTTCTTATTTTTGGTGGAGTGTGAGATACTTAGACTGTAGACAGTAGTTTAAGCAGCATAAAGTAGTAGTAATAATTTTTGATCTACTCAAATACTCATAAAAACTCTGTATATGTGTACTACCAAAGTATAATAATGTTTTCAACTACTTATTTTTAATCCAAAACAATTTTTAGCAAATTCTGTGTTCTTGACTTATATATCTATCTATACTTTTGTAATTAAAACTAACAGTGGATTTAAAATATTGCAAAAATATTTTTAGGTATGTTCAAGCTTAATTTTCTTTTGCATCAGTTGTATGAATATTATGCAGAAAATTGTACAACAGTTTTAAATGTTATGAAGGCAAAAACCCATTAAGCCATTTAATTTTTATAGTTTTACTAAAGAAATTATAAAATGCTTTCATCTCAGTCAGAAGTGCAGCGAAAAGTTAAATAATTCATTTAGTATCTGTGCTTTGATTGCAGCACAAATGTTGTCATGTTGGATTTCATTTACTAAGATTTGTGTTTATTAACCTTGTTTTACTGTCTTGTCCAGACTGCATGCATCATGGAAGTTAGGGTTTGTCAGTTCTCAGGTTATTGTCTTTAGAAGCTTCATGTTTCTTCTTAGAAAAACCTTGGAGAGCAGCCTAGATTTGCTTTAAGATTTAAGATAAAATATGAAGAAATGAGGGGTACCTTGGCATTTCACAAATTGTGCTTAAAGGGTCTTAAAATCAGTAGACTATCTTTTGGGGATAGTAGCCACTCTGTATCCTTAATCTTTAATTTTTATTTATTTATCTCCAACTTGTTCCAAAAAGAATTTAAGGCAGCTGTATAAAGACCATATAGTAAGATAAAATAAATTTATAATAGGTGAAGAAAACAATAAAGTACAAAATAAAGATGGAAATAAGAATAAAAAATTTAGTTGGAGCAAAGAGTGAGATTACTGGGCAAAACCCATGTAACACAATCTCTGTATTTGCTAGTGATGGACAAAAAGTTTAACGAACATTTCAGACAGCCAGTGTAAAGAGTGAAATTTGGTAGGCAAGTTGCATGTTGTATTTACTTTATGACCTAGGTCCTAGGAGAAATCATTAATGAAATTAACCATTTACCTAATTTCACCAAAATAAGAATAAACCATTTTTTTTATTATAGGCAAGTGAACAAGATATCCTTAAATATCTGGTTAAATGGGGTGAGCACCAGCTGATGAAAAGAATAGCAGACAGAGGTAAGCTCAGAAAATTAGCTTGCACTGTTTTTCCCAAAAGCTTACTGACATGATGCTACATGTCAGTCTTGACAATAATCACTGTTGCCTGGTGAAAATAAAAATTTTTACAATTGGCAAAATCCTTTAGTGGAGAGGAGGGTATACTTTGTTAGAGATAAATATACCACAAACTTATATTTTGCGGCTTTAAAAGGATACTTTTTTTAAAATTGATTTTTAGAGGAAGAAAGAGAGAAACAATGGTTTGTTGTTCTACTCATCCATGCATTCACTGATTGATTCTTATATGTGCCTTGTCTGGGGATTGAACCCACAACCTTAGCATATCTGAACGATGCTCTAACCCAGGGGTCCTCAAACTTTTTAAACAGGGGGCCAGTTCACTGTCCCTCAGATTGTTGGAGGGCCGGACTATAGTTTAAAAAAAAAACTATGAACAAATTCCTATGCACACCGCACATATCTTATTTTGAAGTAAAAAAACAAAACGGGAACAAATACAATATTTGTATTTGCATGTGGCCCACGGGCCGTAGTTTGAGGACCCCTGCTCTAACCAACTGGGCTACCTGGCCAGGGCAGAATACTTTTAATGTTATCTTTCTATGTTCTTAATATTAAATGTTGACTGATTTACAGTAGTAGTAGAAGTGAAATAATTAAAGTATTATTGTTGGTGAAAATGTTCTGTAATTAGAGAGTGGAGATGGGTGCACAAAGTAAGTTTATTAAAAAACCAGTATTCTTCTAGAATGGTGAGTTTTATGTTATGTGAATTTTACCTCAATAAAAAAATATATATGACTACCCCAAAAAAGCATATTTGCTGTTTATTTTTAAATTTGTGGAAGGTAAGGGAGAAAGAATAATTTTGAGTGGCCTCCAGTTGGGAATACTGTAGAAAAGATGGAAACATCATAATAGGAGGTGAGCTTTCAACTTTGGAAGCTGATTCTTTTATTTATATCCAGGATTAGTCTACCCCCCTGTACTCCTTTCTTCATAGAATATTGTATTTCTATGTAATGAACCCAAAACAAAAAACTTTAATTAGAAAAATTAAATACAAACTTTCCTTCCCTGTCATTTTTCAACAGCTTTATTTAGGTACTAGAGGCCCAGTGCACAAAATTCATGCAGTTGGGGGGGGGGTTCCTCAACTCAGCCTGTGCCTTACCTCAATCCGGGAGCCCTCAGGGGACGCGGAGGTGGGAGAGGCTCCCACCACCGCCACTGAGCTCGCCAGCCATGAGCCCAGCTTCTGGCTGAGTGGCGCTCCCAATGTGGGAGCACACTGACCACCAGGGAGCAGCTCCTGCATTGAGCGTCTGCCCCTGGTGGTCAGTGTGCATCGTAGCGACGGGTTGTTCCGCCATCAGGCCGAAACCAGCTCTTCGACATCCTGGATTGCAAGAGGGAGCAGGCCAGGCCGAGGGACCCCACTGATGCATAATCGGGGCCGGGGAGGGATGCAGGAGGTTGGCCAGCCAAGGAGGGACTGCGGGAGGGCTTCAGGGCGTGTCCAACCTGTCATGCTCAGTCCCAATTGGCCGGACCCCAGCAGGAAGCTAACCTACCGGTCAGAGCATCTGCACCCTGGTGGTCAGTGCACGTCATAGCGAGAGGTTGAGCAGCCTTATATCATTAGCATATTACGCTTTGATTGGTTGAACGGCCAACTGGACGACTGACACTTAGCATATTAGGCTTTTATTATATAGGATAACTTACATACCACAAAGTTCAACTCTTTAAAGTGTTCATGGTCGGTGTTTTTTAGTAATAAGTTTATAGAGTTGTTTTGCCACATTTTTAAATATATAAAAATATCAAGCTAGCCTGTCTTCAAACCTTCTTATATATCTCTTTAATACACTACTATTCAAGTACTAGGGAACAAAAGCAGTCTTCCCATTTGATTTCATTTATTTCTCTGTGGCCTGCAAAAGCCTTTAGCAATTCTAAGATTTGAAATTTTTAATAAAATAACCATTACTATTAGTTTGGGACATTTTTGTAATGCCAGTATACAGTCTATCCCCCTTGCCTGCAGATTATGTATTTGCAAATTCACCTACTTGCTAAAATGTATTTGCATTCCCCAAATCAGTACTCTTAACACTTTCATGGGCATTTGCAGACATGTGCAGAGTGACAAAAAATTTGAGTCTCCTGATGCATATGTTCTCACCTTAATTTGAAACAAGATGATGCTTTGCCTTCTTGTTTCTGCTCTCATATTGTAAACATGTCCTTTCACAGTGTATTTAGTGCCATGTTTTTTGCATTCTTAACGAGGTTTGGGGGTAATCTCACTGTTTAAAATGGCCTCCAAGTGTAATGCTTAGTGCTGTCTAATGTTCCTAAGCATACGAAGGCTGTGATGTGCCTCACAGAGATAATGTGTGTTAGATAAGCTTTGTTCAGGTATGAGTTATCTATTGGCCATGAGTTCAGTGTTAATGAATCAACATATATGTTACTAAGGTTTCTTTAAACAGAAACACACACAAGACAGAGTTATATCTTGATCAGTTGGCAAAAATGTGACCAGAGGCTCCCTGGAACCTACCCCTGTGTTTCCCTTAGGAGCAGTGATTCAGTGTTCACAGCGGCTTTATAGAACACTAGAGGCACGCTGCATGAAATTCGTGCACGGGTGGGGTCCCTAGGTCTGGCTGGCGATCAGGGCCGGGCCATTTGGGGCCGAAGGCACCTGCAGGATTGGAAGAGGAGGCAACTGTCTCTGGGCCGGGTGCAGAAGGAACGGATGCCAACGCCACCACCGCGCAGTTCCCTGCCTCCCACCCTCTTCCTTCCTGCAGCGGGCCGTTTGGGGTCTGCTGGCTGCGGGGAGGGACAGGGCACGGGAGATTGGCCACAGGCCCCAAGGAGGGAGCTGGCCCTCAGCCCCCCTGGGAAAGGGGCTGTGTTTGCTGCCACCCACACCAGTTTCCTGCCCCAGCCCAGGGCCCAAAGGACCCGGCGGGGTAGGGAGAGGAGGTGACAGTCGCCGGGCTGGAGGCTGAAGGAACGGACGCCTAATGCCAACACCGTCACTGCACAGTTCCCCGCACCCCCCCCCCACCCCCCCCCCGGCGGGCAGATCAGGACTTGCCGGCTGGGGGGAGGACAGGGTGCAGGTGGTTGGCCGCCAGCCCTGAGGAGGAAGCCGGCCCTTGGCCCTCTCTTGGAAAGGGGCTGCACCCACCACCACCCACTCCCATCCCAACCCAGGGCCTGGCCCTGATTGGGCAATTGGGGCCTGCCGGCCGGGGGGAAGGGACTATGGGAGGTTGGCCGGCTGGGGGAGGTTGGCTGTGGGAGCACACTGACCACCAGGGGGCAGTTCCTGCGTTGAGTGTCTGCCCCTGGTGGTCAGTGCGCGTTATAAGGACTGGTCATTCTGGTCGCTTAGGCATACACACACACACACACACACACACACACACACACACACACACTAGAGGCCCGATGCATGAAATTTGTGCACTCGGGGGGGAGGTCCCTCAGCCCGGCCTGTGCCCTCTCCCAGTCTAGGACCCCTTGAGGTATGTCCGCCTGCTGGCTTAGGCCCGATCCCTCTTGTAGTCAGGGACCCCTTGCTCCTTACTGCCCGCCTGCAGCAGAGGCGGGAGAGGCTCCCGCCACTGCTGCTACGCTCTCCAGCCATGAGCCAGGCTCCTGCATTGAGCATCTAGCCCAGCTGTGGGCAAACTACGGCCCGCGGGCCGAATCCGGCCCGTTTGAAATGAATAAAACTAAAAAAAAAAAAGACCGTACCCTTTTATGTAATCATGTTTACTTTGAATTTATATTAGTTCACACAAACACTCCATCCATGCTTTTGTTCCGGCCCTCCGGTCCAGTTTAAGAACCCATTGTGGCCCTCGAGTCAAAAAGTTTGCCCACCCCTGATCTAGCCACTGGTATTCAATGCGTGTCACAGCAACCAGTCATTCCACTGTTCAGTCAATTTGCATATTAGGGTTTTATTATATAGGACTCGAGGCCCGATGCACGAAATTCATACAAGAGTATGCCTTCCTTCCCCTGGCTGCCAGCACCGGCTTCCCTCTGGCACCGGGACCTGGGCTTCCCTCTGGCCACCAGCAGTCGTCCGGAAGGACATCTGGTCTAATTAGCATATTACGCTTTTATTGTTATAGTTTGCCAAGTAACAAGAATTGGGTGTATGTCATGTTACATAATCATTATAGCCATAGGTTTTTTGTTTTGTGTTTTTTTTCATTGACATAAGATTGGTAATGCCATATTTATTTGTGGCAGATAATGACCATCCTTGATAAAATTCCCTTAAAGTAGTAGCTTTCAGCCCTGGTCAGGTTGGTTGGAGTGTCGTCCCATACACTGGAAGGTTGCGGGTTCAGTTGAGGCACTTACTGATCAATGTTTCTCTCTCCCATCCTCTCTCTCTCTCTCTCTCTCTCTCTCTCTCTCTCTTTCTCTCTCAAATCAATTAAAAGCATATCCTTGAGCGAGGGTTGAAAAAAATATAGTTTTCGGATTGGGTTAGAATGTCAGGCTCTTTTACAGGAATGAGAAGGAAGCTAAGCAAACCGGGTTACACTTTATTTTAGTCACCCTCATAGATTAGGGTTTTGACCTTACCTGTTACATATTTGGGAGTTTAAAGTAAGATTCCGTTTGAAAACACTACTAAAGAAAAAAAATTTTTTTTTTTTTAAAAGCAATGCCTTGTATAAGTATGAAGGCAGATCATAGCAAAGCAAGGACAAAAACCTTTTTCACACACTTGCGGCAATTTTATTTCACACAACTGCAGTAAACGCTTAACTTCTCAAAAACAATCTCTTTACCTACCTATCACATGATTTAAAGGAAATACCAGTTAGCCTACAGACTTTGCAAAATACCTGGCATTTATATTCGTGAATAATAAAGATCTCCTTTTAAAAAAAATACACCCCCTAGATTAAAGACATGATTAAAAAGATTCCCAACATTTATGTAAATTTTTCTCACCTCAGTATTGTAAGCATGGTAAATCTTCCCCTTTTACTAATACCCAATAAAGAAAACCTTTATTCTCTGCTCTGGACAATGGAAATATACATGTTAGAGATTAAAGGGTTTGCTTATATGCAGGAACATTCCCATTTTATGGAAATTTGAGAGACTAGCAAAGAATTTTAGAGTGTACCTTATTTTGCTGCCAGGAGATTAATATCTTGTTAAGTTGCTTTTAAACAAATGGTAGCCTAATGAGTATACCATTAACCTACAGTGACCAGAAATAGCACTTGCTCTACAGTGTCCTTATTGTACTAAAATCTGGTCACAAAAGTGAGAAAGCTTAAGAAAAAGCCCTCAGTCAAACTAGATTTTAATAGATTATCATCTTTTCCTTTGAGTTAGTGTACAGAAAAAAATCCTCTATTTTGTAGTGCAGGAAAATCATAAAAGAATGTTATACTGTTGACACCATGCTTTTTCTCTGTCAGAACATTTTTATTAACTAAACTTCATAAAATATAAACATAATTTGTCTTGCCAGTGTGACTCAGCAGTTAAGCGTCAACCCAGGAACCAAGAGGTCACTGGTTTGATTCCTGGACAGGGCACATGCCCAGGTTGTGGGCTCAATCCCCAGTGGAGGCCAATCGATGATGTTCCTCTCTCAGATCAATGATGTTTCTCTATCATCAATGTTTCCATCTCTCTATCCCTCTCCCTTCCTCTCTCTCTAAAAATCAATAAAAACATTAAAAAAAACATAAGTTATAACCCTTTTTAAAACAGGTGTACTAAAGTATAAAGAATGGTACTGAAAATATACTAGAGAAGAAAGCCTTCTGAAAATTTGGATTTGCTTGGAGACTTTCATTTTCTGTCTCACAGAACCAAACTTACTGAGTGGCACTGCTCATAGTGTGAACAAAAGAGGTGTGAAAAGACGAGACCTGGACATTGAAGAGCTTCGAGAGATCCTTTCTTCTCTCTTACCTTTTGTTCGTGTTGAGCACATCTTACCTATAAACAGTGAAGTCCTAAGTGATGCAGTAAGTGTCTGTCTTCATTTGTCCCTTTCATGAAAAGAAAATGCACTAAAATGTATAGGCTTATCTTTGTTTATCATTGTAAATAATTATACTAACAGAGTATTGTGAAACTGAATTCATTGAAGTCAGAGACAGATGTCTGTTTTGTACTATATTATATCCCCCGATCCCTCATACCTGGCACACAGCACAAATAAATGTTTGGTGAATGAGAATTGAATGTGTATATCATTGTTACTTTTGCAAGAGGATAGTTTCTTAGGGTTTAATTCAGCATTTGTCAGTGTAGATCAAGTATATTCTTATTAAAAAAGGAAAGGTTAGAAATTACCTTTGGGGAGACTCTTCAAGAACAGAAATAAATCAGAAAACAGGAGGAAAGGAGAATGAATGGTTCAGTGTAAAAAGGCTGAATGAATCTTATAATGGTATTTCAGTTAAAAATTAATGGAGCTGATTTTGTTAATTTTATTTTTTTAAGTGAGTTTTTAAACTAATAGAATTGTTCAGATTAATGGATGGGAGGAGAAATATTACAAATATTAGTTCCTCATACATTGGTTTATAACTTTAAGGTAATGCTGTAAACACAATAGTTTTTTAAAGGTCCCTAAAAAGAACATAATTAAGGATGGGTAACTCTTCCAGAATGTAAAGTACATTTTAAAAGTCTAATTATAATCTCTGATGCTAGCATAACAGGCAAGACAAATAGCCTAGAAAAAGATCCTAATTAATAAAAGAATTAAACATAGTAAATGAGCTATCACAAATCAGTGTGGTGCTAGACTAACTGATGAATGGGGAAGGGAGGACATTTGTTTAAAGTTAAACCCTCATTTCATTTGCACAGAAAATTAATTCCTGTTAGATTGAAGAATTAAATATTAAATTGAAACATGGAAAACTAGAAGAAAAATATTTATGGAATCTCTGATTAGAAAAATGTGCAGTCTCATTAGTAATCACATACCCCAAAGAAAGCAAAATAAAACAGTAAGTTATCATTTTTTCACCTATTAGGTCAGTGATTTTTGAAATAATAATACTATCCCATAAGAGAAGTATAGCTGGTACATTGATAATATTGTCATTAAATACTTGGAATTAGTCTAAATATCTAAGAACAGGGAAAATAAGTAAATTATAGTACAACTACGCAACAGAATAGTTTGCTGTCCTGAACAGTGGTTATAATTACTAATAGCGCATCATGGAAAATGCTGATAATGGAATATAATTTTAGAAAGAAGGATATAAAATGTGTATTTTATGTATTCTAGAATGCAGTTACGTTAAAATTCATTTGAAAAAAGGAAATATAGCAACATTATTATAGTTGTAATAGGTTAGAGTTAGGAGTTTTTTCTCTAAATACCACCTACTGCTAATTTTATTAGTTAAAAATAATTTTAATGCAGCAATTAGACATTTATTAATGTTTAACAAGAATAAGATTGTAGAAACAGTGTTTGGTCTTGTTTAAAATCCGAGACTCAAACCGCTTTGTATCCTGAATTTAACTTAGAAAAATATTTTAGAACTTTGGTTTAGTAGACTGAGAAAAAATATATTGATACTCTTAATTCCATGGCTATCACATAAGTCCCCACCCAGGAAAAGTTTGCTAATAATAGCTGTCAACCGGAAGTTCTAAGCACTATACCAAACCCATTTTATCCTCACAGCCACTTTATGTGCTGTGGGTACTTGTTTTATATTCTCCTGGCATAGATGAGGAAACAGCAGGGCTACCACAGTTAGTTGTGTGGTGTCCCATCTCCAGGGCCATCTAGGAGCCCTTAAAGTGAGGCCCAGGTAAAAGGAGATGTCACGGTCACAAGGTTGTTAAATGGGGAGTTAAGGTTTGAGCCAAACCTTAAGCACCATGTACAACTGCCTATATCCTTGTACTGTAGATACTAGCTCTCTAGTTCTTGATTTGTCTTGGGGGGAGGGAACTGAGTTGGGGATGGAATCAGTTCCTAGATGAGCAAGGAAAAAAATAATAATTGGTTTCATTAAGAATTTTGAAAGTTCAACTCGTTACATTTTTTAATTAATACAGCTCTTGTTTTAAAAACCTCATTCCTCTGTTTAGAGAAAAAAATGGGAAATTATACTACCTTTTATTTCCAAGTCCTTTAAATATTATTAAACATTTGAAGTATTTTTAAATTTTACATACATTCCTAAATTTTTATACAAATGGTAGTTTGAACATTTTGATTTGTAGGTATAATTATTTTTATGTTAGTATTGTAGTGCTACACAAATACCTTTATAAAAAATAATTTTTTTCAAGATGAAAAGAGGCTTGATTAGTACTCCTCCATCAGATATGCTTCCTACATCAGAAGGTGGAAAGTCAAATGCCTGGTTACGGCAAAAAAATGCTGGAATATATGTTCGTCCTCGACTCTTCTCTCCCTATGTGGAGGAAGCAAAGGTAATGAAAAAGATTTTCAGACATTAGATCACTGTATTATAAACTGTAAGCACAAAGTATTTATTGTGGCATTATATAAATATTTGGAAATGGCCTATATGTCCAGTAATCAGAAAGTAAACATAAATTCTAGTTTGACTGCTCAGTAGAATACTTTCCTGAAATGTTTAATTATCAAGCATATTTTTATAATTTAGGTCATGTTAAACTGCATTTTACATTTTTCTCATTTTAGTTTTCTTGTAAAATGTTAACTTGAAAGGTTTTTGTTTTTTTATTGAAATGGTTGTCAGTATTTTGTGATCTTCAGCATGGGAAAATGTCCTGCAAGAAGATTGCACACACTGTGTCTTCCTTCATAAAGTAAAGAATTGCCATCATTTCTTGTAACACATTTCTGTAACACATTCCAGCTGACTGCTGGAATTTGTGTTTAGTTTATAATAAGAGCACATACTAAGAAAACATTTCAGGTCTATTAAGCAAATAGTTGGCATTATGACTATTATAACAATTCTTCTAGAAAATATGGTAATGTAAAAATGAAATACTGTAATTTTTATTAGATGTATTCAGCCAGAAGAATTTTGGAGTGGCCTTTTGAGAAACAGCTAGTCTTTGAAAGTCAGAAATCACCATTAAGCTTTATGAAATAAAGTAAGAGGCAAAACAGTGTGTGTTTGGATATAGAATTATTTATCTTGTTTTTATTATCTGAGTTCCTAGTTTAAGATACATGAAAGGATTTGTGAGTTTATTTTGTTCGACTGATTGACATTTCAAATAATTCTAAAACAGAGAGAAAAAGCAGAATGGTTGTGCCTGGTCTTTTTAAAGTAAATTCAGTACTCAGATTCCCTGAAGCAACTGAGGCCTTTACAAAAGGTTGAGTCTGGGGATAAATGGTCTGTAATAAACTAGACCTACCCTCCATTCTGCTTTGTCTGAAAAAGTAAGTTCATCACTAGTCCTCCTGGAACTTCTGTTTTTCAGATGGCTGTACCCATACATAAGTAGATAATTGCCCCAATAAAAGTAGAAAATGTTTATATTTATATCATTTTGATCGGTTTAGTGAAGTAGATTAATCTAAAACTGATTTTTAACAACTGGGTTTATTTATAGACCTATTCAATTTATTTTTTAAATATATTTTCATTGATTTCAGAGTGGAAGGAAAAGGGAGAGAGAGACAAAAACATCAATGATGAGAGAGAATCATTGATCGGCTGCCTCCTGCACACCCCCTACTGGGAATTGAGCCCGCTACCCCGGCATGTGCCTTGACCGGAATCGAACCTGGGACCCTTCAGTCCGCAGGCTGATTCTCTATCCACAGAGCCAAACCAGCCAAGGCTAGACCTATTCAATTAATATCAGTTCTTAATATTTTGTCTTTTGAGCACTTTTGAAAAATTGATTTTTAGAGAGAAAGGAAGGGAAAGGGAGAAAAAAACATTGATGGGAGAGCAGAACATTGATCAGCTGCCTCCTGCACGCCCCTACGGGGGATCAAACCCAAAACCCAGGCATGTGCCCTGACTGGGAATCAGCAACCTTTTTGGTGCACAGGACAACGCCCAGCCAATTGAGCCAATGAGCCAGGGCTTTTTTTTTTATCTGATGTTTAGCCCATGTATACATGTTTTCTTTATAGTAACTTTATGTGTAATTTACTTCTGATTAATTTTATATCCTTCCTGTAAATTTTAAATACTTCAATTGAAAGGAAACTTTTCAGAAGTGGTTATTTTTTTTTCCAAAGATACTCCAAAAGATCATTTAAAAATTAAAGAGGTAGGGGTACTTTCTCCTTTCACCACTAATTATAAACTTCATACACTGGAAGCAATGAAGTAATTCCCTTTTTATATGATGAAAGTAATAATATATCTCCAAATGTTATTTAACAGAGATGAAGGGTTTACTAATCCTATTAATACTGAATTGTTCTTTCAGTCAGTGCTAGATGAGATGATGGTGGAACAAACAGATCTTGTGCGTTTACGAATGGTTAGAATGTCCAATGTGCCAGACACACTTTACATGGTCAATAATGCCGTACCACAGTGCTGTCACATGATCAGCCACCAGCAGATCAGCAGTAACCAATCAAGCCCTCCTTCGGTGGTAGCCAATGAGATTCCAGGTAAGGCTGTAATGTGTTTTAGGCATTTATACTTAAACTAGAGGCCCAGTGCACAAAACTTGTGCACTGGTAGGGTCCCTAGTGGCTGCTGGCTGCTGGCCAGATACTCCCTCCCTTCCCCTGGCCGGCCCCGCCCCCTGGTTCAACTCCCAGACAACCTCCCAGTTGAGGGGACAATTTGCATACTATCCTTTTATTTTATAGGATAATCTGATCTTTTTGTAATCCTTTTGCATGTGGTAATTCTCTCCTGGTCCAATACCTGGTATGCATTGTTCTCTTCAAAGTATAAATGCTGCCCTGGCTGGTTTGACTCAGCGGTTAGAGCAGCAGCCCTCAGACCCAAAGGTTGCAGGTTCAATTCCAGCCAAGGGCACGTACCTCGGTTGCAGGTTCATCCCCAGTTCCTGTCCGGGCACCTGTAGGAGGCAGCCAACCACTCAGTGTGTCTCTCTCATGTCAGTGTCTCCCTCCCTCCCTCCCTCCCTCTCTCTCTCTCTCTCTCTCTCTCTCTCTCTTTCTCTCTCTCTCTTCCTCTCTCTCTCTCTTTCTCTCCCCCCCCTCCCCCCTTTCCTCCTTCCCTTGTCTCTCAAAAAATCAATGGAAAAAATGTCCTCGGGTGAGGGTTTAAAAAAAGAAAGAATACATACTTATAAGCTAAATTTTTTGTTTTGAATTTTATTTTATAGTAATAGGTATATACAGTTTTCAGTTTCACCCAGGGTTTCTCAGCCTTGGTCCTCTTGACAGTTAGGGCTGGATAATTCTTTGTTGTGGGGCTGTCCTGTGCATTGTGGGGTGTTTGGCAGCATCCCTACCCTGGGCTCCCTAGATGCCAGTAGCACACATGTACACACATCCCTTTGTAAGCCTTAGGAAACATTTTTCTGTTTCTAGATATTGCCAAATGCACACTGTGGGGCAAGACCACCTACTCCTGAGACCACTGATTTACAGGAATTTAGATAGTTCATCAACATAGGGTATTTTTCACATTATAAACCCCATTGGGGATAGCATTATAAACTTGTATCTTTGAGTCTGCTTATGTCTCCCAGAAATGTGATCACCATTGGTTTACTGAAGATCCAGTTTCCCAAGATCTGGTCTGTGAATTTTATTGTAGTGTAGGCTTATGTCATACAACTCTGAGGAAAGTGGCCATAGGTAGAGGTGTAACTGTCAATGTCCAAAAACTTCTGAACATCAGTTAATGTTTATTTTAACCAAAGGGCCCTAATGTCATTTTCTAATATAAGGAAATCAACAGTGCAGATGGGGTAAGGAATTTATAACTCTTGCCAGTTACTATTGCAAGATTTATTAAAAACCATCAAACTATAGCATTATTGGAAATGGCACCATTTGTTTTCTGTTTGCAAATGTCAGTTTCAATTAAGGATAAATAAAAGACATAATACAACTTTTTTTTTAATGGTTGTATTGATTGTTTGTTTTAGAGAAAGGGAGAGGGATAGAGACATCATTAATCAGCTGTTTCCTGCACACCCCTTACTGGGGGTCAAACCTGAAACTGGGCTTGTGTCCTGACCAGGAACCAGGAATCGAACTGTGACCTCTTGGTTACTGGGTTGACACTCACCCACTGAGCCACATCAGCCTGGCCATAATGACAACAAAATATATATATATGTGTGTGTGTGTGTGTGTGTGTGTTTTATTGATTTCAGAGAGGAAGGGAGAGAGAGAACAAAAAATGATGAAAGAGAATCATTGATCGGGTGCCTCCTGCACCCCCTATTGGAAACCATATAATAAATATAATCCCTTGACTGGAATCAAACCCAGGCCCCTTCAGTTCACAGGCTGCTCTATCCACTCAGCCAAACCAGCTAGGGCCATAGTGACAACTTGTAATTGAACCACATCTGATCTGTGGTTACCTTTTCAGTTTTGTCCACTACATGTTTATTTAAAGCAGTGGTTCTCAACCTTCTGGCCCTTTAAATACAGTTCCTCATGTTGTGACCCAAACATAAAATTATTTTCATTGCTACTTCATAACTGTAATGTTTCTACTGTTATGAATCGTAATGTAAATATCTGATATGCAGGATGGTCTTAGGCAGGGGTCCTCAAACTACGGTCCGCGGGCCACATGCAAATACAAATATTGTATTTGTTCCCATTTTGTTATTTTACTTCAAAATAAGATATGTGCAGTGTGCATAGGAATTTGTTCATAGTTTTTTTTAAACTATAGTCCAGCCCTCCAACTGTCTGAGGGACAGTGAACTGGCCCCCTGTTTAAAAAGTTTGAGGACCCCTGGTCTTAGGTGACCCCTGTGAAAGGGTCGTTCCACCGCCAAGGGGTCGCGACCCACAGGTTGAGAACCGCTGATTTAAAGTATACATTGGATTACAGTATGAAGAGAAATATTTCTGTAGCTGATTTGTGCAGATTTTGAAACTTTCGTAACTTTTATCAACTTGAGTTAATACTTGAACATAACAACATAATTTAATCTTAGAACTGAATCTCAAAAGCCCAAACGTATTCACAATTAAATATGCTCAGAAAAATAAGACTTGTCTTTTGTTTAACTATTTTCTGTTGTTTAACCCTATTCTGGTGTTATCCTGATTCTAACTTGCTCACCATACTCTAATGCAGTGGTTCTCAACCTGTGGGTCTCGACCCCTTTGGGGTTCGAACGACCCTTTCACAGGGATTTGATACAATTCAAATCCCTTATTGTGACATGCAGGGTCATGCAGGGTCATTCATTTCACAGGGGTCGCCTAAATACATCCTGCATATCAGATATTTACATTACAATTCATAACAGTAGCAAAATTACAGTTATGAAGTAGCAACGAAAATAATTTTATGGTTGGGGGTCACCACAACATGAGGAACTGTATTAAAGGGTCGCGGCATTAGGAAGTTGAGAACCACTGCTCTAATGAAAGGCTATCTAGCTTATTGGCTCTTATCCTGGCTCTGCCACTTTGTTTATATCACTTTGGATACGCTATCTGCTTCCCTACTCATTAATTTCCTTATCTGTAAAATGGGGTTATCTCCTTCTAGGATTATTGTGAACACATAAGCAAGTACCACGAGTAATATGCTTAGGGGTTTGCCTGGCACAAAGCAGGAACTTTAAATAATAGTCAGTTTGGCTCATAATGTCTATGGACCTTGTTTCCTCTGCTGCAGCCTTATTCCATGTTCCTAACCCGTGTTCCTGCCTCTAACCTCACTCACTCCCCTTCTGGACTTTACACCAGGGCTCGGCAAAGTTTTTCTCTGAAATGCCACATGGTAAATATTATAGGCTTGTGGGTTATGCAGTTTCTGTCACAGCTACTCAACTCTGTTCAACTCTGATGTTGTAGGCCAAAAGCAGCCATAATACCTAAACAGATGGGTGTGGCTGTGTGCCAGTAAAACTTCATTTACAAAAAGCCAACAAGCTTGATGTAGCCTACAGACCCTAGTTTGCCAACTCCTGGTTGACACTACTCTCAGAGTGCACTTAACCTCATTACAGATCTGATCCTGTCATTCTACACAAGATACAATTCAAATCCCTTATTGTGACATGCAGGGTCATGCAGGGTCATTCATGATCTGCCCCACCCATCTTTCTAGCCCTCCTTCTTAATACTCTTCTTGCCTGCACTTTGGAATCCTGAGTTCTAGCATGCCAACTCCTTGGGCCGCACTGTCTCTCATTTGCATGTTTTACACATGCCTGGTCCTTCTGCTCGGAAAGCCTTCACTCCATATTCTTTGCCTGCCTGGTTTTCTCTCATTCTTCATGACTACACTCAGGGGTCACCTTGTCTAGGCAGCCTTTCCTGCCTGCCTCCAGTCCAGGTTGAGGGTCCCTTCCTCCAAATCCCTTCAGTATCCTTTGCATAGTTCTCTCCATGACCATTTGTGGCCCTGTACTCTACTGGTTTACTTGGTTTACTTCACTAAAGTCAGAGTTCTTAGAGGACAGGGAACACGTCTTTGTTCTGTGCACCCTAATACTTGAGCCCAATCCCTAGTGCATAGTCAGGACTCAAGAGTTATATGAAGCCCTAACTGGTTTGACTCAGTGGATAGAGTGTCGGCCTTTGGACTAAAAGGTCCCAGGTTCGATTCTGGTCAAGGGCATGTACCTTGGTTGCGGGCACATCCCCAGTGGGAGGTGTGCAGGAGGCAGCTGATCGATGTTTCTCTACCATCGATGTTTCTAACTCTCTATTCCTCTCCCTTCCTCTCTGTAAAAAATCAATAAAATATATATTTTTTAAAAAAAGAGTTATATGAATAAAAGTAAATACATTTTTAAAACAGGAAATAGCCCTGGCCTGTGTTGCTCAGTGGTTGGAGCATTGACCACCCCTCCCTGCCGCCAAGGGTCTTGGGTTCGATTCCCGGTCAAGAGTATACACCTGGGTTGCTGGTTTGATCCCCAGCCCCCATCAGGACGCGTGCAGGAAGCAGCCAATCGATGTTTCTCTCTCTCCCTCTCTTCGTCTTTCCCTCTCCCTCTCTTCCCTCCCTCTGTCCCTTCCATTCTCTAAAACTGTTGGGGGAGATTCTCAGGTGAGGATTAACAACAAAAAAAACTTAGGAAATATCCTGATAGGAAATACCCTGATACTCAAAAGAGCATTTTAAGTAAAATTGTATTAGACTGTGAACTAATATAGTTCAGATGCTGTTTGGTACAGTGAAATTGTAAAACCATAAAAAATAATTAGAAGTAGGCCTGTCTGGGTAACTCAGTTGGCTAGAGTGTTGTCCCCATATGCCAAAGTTGTGGGTTCATTTTCCAGTCAGGGCACATACAGATATCAACCACTGAATGCATAAATAAGTGGAACAACAAATTGATGTTTCTCTCTCTCTCCTCCTTTCTCCCTCACTCCCTCTCTAAAATCAATAAATAAATTTTTAAAAATTAAAAATATATACAGTACGAAGTTGCCAGAAAATTAAAATATTATCAAAAATGTATAAGAAGATTCTGATACAAAACACATGCTGTTTTTCTTGTGCCAATGGGTGGTCTTTTGTGTAGCTCAGGTATTTGTCTACAAACGGTTTTCCTTCTTCCAGTTCCTCGTCTCCTCATTTTGAAAGACATGGTCAGACGTCTGCAGGAGCTCCGACACACCGAGCAGGTGCAGAGAGCTTATGCACTGAACTGTGGGGAAGGCGCCACGGTCAGCTATGAAATCCAGATCCGAGTACTGAGAGAGTTTGGTCTTGCCGATGCTGCTGCAGAGCTCTTGCAGGTGCGGAACTCATTACGCTGTTTCAGATAAGGAGCCTGGGTCATTCCTTACTCAGGCGGTATTGTAGATGTGGCAGGAGCTCTCACAGACGAGTCTTCTTCCTGATCCGTGCTTTTCACTCCCCCCAGTGCGTTAGCTAACCTTGAGAGGCAGTGTGGAAGCGTGCAGGGAGCACAGGCTCTGGAGTGAGAACTGGGTCATATCATGGCTCTGCTGCTTACCTACCAGTTAATTGGAGCAGTTACTTAACCACTCTGAGCATCAGTTTCCTTGTGTGTCATGTGGATTGTTGTGAAGATAAGAGGTGCATTATTATAAAGCAACTTGTCTCATATGCAGTAAACATATAAATGGTGACTGCCAAAAGTTTGTGGTGCATATGTCCAACAGAAATGAAAGACCAAGTAGCAGATTCTGGCCCTCCACTGCTCTCCCTCTCCAGTTTGGTCACTAGACTCAGGTTTTGACCACTCTCGTACTTAGAGTTCTCCCAGATGCCGGTTTTCCCTCTCCTCCCCCTTATTATAAGAAATGTTTTTATGATGGTTCAAACCTATAAGCACTGGAATCAAGAAATGAGTTGTTTAACTAGCAGGAAAAACTCTTCCCCTCTCCCCCTGCATCCTTACCCACAGGGGATACATTCCAAAAACCCCCAGTGGATGCCTAAAACCGCGGATAGAACCAAGCAAACCCTATATATACTATGTTTTTTCCTATACATATACATTGCTATGATAAAGTTAGGCACAGTAAGAGTTTAAAACAATAATAATAAAATAGAATAATTATAACAATATACAATACTGTAATATAAGTTATGTGAATTGCTTTCTCTCAAAATATCTTCTTGTACATACAGCGTGGAGACGCTGGACAAAAGGATGATTCACATCCCAGGCAGGGCCGGGAGAGCGGGGGAGATAATGCAAGATTCCATCATTCCACTCAGGATGGCTCACAACTTAAAACTTGCATGTCATTTGTTTCTGGAATTTTTTTTGTAATCTTTTTGGACCTTGGTTTACTAAGGATAACTGAAACTGGAAAGTGAAACCTGAAAAGGGGAGACTACTGTAGTCTGCTTAGGGCCACTAAGTCAGAACTTAAAATAAGACTTAATTTCATCTGATCAAGTGAATTGTTTTCTTGCCCTAGACTCCAAACCCCTTTACCCTGAGTCTTCAGAAGGGAACCCGGTATGGTGTTCTTAGGCAAGATAGCAGGCCATTTATAGATTCTTGATTTTCATTATTTGTTATGGCTTCCATCCCCCACAAAGAGAGTCTTAATTTATATTCATTTCTCTTTCTTTGCCGTTCTAAATCATACCTTAATTTTATATCTTAAATAACATAAAAGTTTTATAATTTAAGTATTCCCTGATAATGTTTATCAAAACATTATCCCTGTATAATTAGGAGTAGTATTTTGTAGTTTTTATTTCAGCCTGAGAGTGCACATGCATTGTCAGAAAGTTCTAGCAGGATCCTCACCTTGGTCATTTTATTTTTTTAGTAAAGACATATTTGAATTAGGGTTTATTTCCTCTTGTTTTTTTTTTAATTATTATTATTATCATCACACTAGAGGCCTGGTGCACGAAATTTGTGCACTGCGGGGATGAGGTCCCTCAGCCCGGCCTGTGGGAAGTGGGCCTAAGCTGGCAGTCAGACATCCCTTTCGCAGTTTGGGAGCCCTTGCTCCTTACTACCTGATGTTCGCTGCTCCTTACCGCTCAGCTCACTGCTGCTTAGCGCTGCCATGGAGGCAGGAGAGGCTTCCACCACCACCACTGTGCTCACCACAGTGCTCCCCCTGTGGGAGGGCTCTGACCACCAGGGGGCAGCTCCTGCGTTGAGCGTCTGCCCCCTGGTGGTCAGTGCGCATCATAGTGACTGGTTGTTCTGGTTGTTCCGCTGTAACGGTCGCTTAGGCTTTTATTATAGAGGCCCGATGCACGAAGATTCGTGCAAGAATAGGCCTGCCTTCCCTTGGCTGCTGGCACCAGTTTCCCTCCGGCACCCAGGACCTGGGCTGCTTTGCTCTGGCTGCTGCCGCCACCCACTAGGGGCGTGCTCCGAGCAGCTGCTCAGAGTACGCCCCCACCCCTGGTGTGTGTATGTCTGCTGGGGTGGGGGCGTGCTCCAAGCCACACCGTGCGGCTGCTCGGAGCACGCTCCAACCCCTGGGATGTGTGTCGAAGCTCAGAGCACGCCCCACCCCTGGTGTGTGTGTGTCCGCTGGGGCTGGGTGCGGCACGCAGTCCCCTCCCACCCATCTGCACACGCAGCTCCTGCTGAGCGGTCGTGATGCAGCCTCCTTGAGCCGGTTGTGATGCCCGGCTAATTTGCATATTACCTGTTTATATGTAGAGGTGATCTTTCATGAGATTACTGGCCTGCTTACTGGAATAATCAGTGAAGCAGCTCTTTTTGATGGCTGTGTGCGTGCTAGGCTACAGAGGCTGCACTCTCTCCTTTTGTACTACTCAGGTAATTTTTTCCTGGAAGCTTGTGGCCTAGAAAAATATGTTACGCCTCTTACTCTGCAGAATGTGGTTTTCTTAGGTCCTCACTTAAGTCTCTCAGCCTGTGAATTTTCATCTATGAAATCTGCTAATCTCTTTTTTTCTCTTTAATCTTTCTTAGAATCCTCACAAGTTCTTTCCTGATGAACGTTTTGGGGATGAAAGTCCGCTCTTGACACTGAGACAGTCTGGGAGATGTCGTGTTAACAGCACCCCCACTGCAGAAACCATGTTTACAGATCTAGACTCTTTTGTGGCCTTCCATCCACCCTTGCCCCCTCCACCACCTCCATACCATCCCCCAGCTACTCCCATCCATAACCAACTCAAAGCAGGCTGGAAGCAAAGACCTCCCAGTCAGCATCCTTCACGTTCATTTTCTTATCCCTGTAATCATTCACTGTTTCACTCCAGAACGGCTCCTAAAGCCGGCCCCCCTCCAGTCTATCTGCCAGGTGTTAAAGCCCCAGCACCTGATTGTACCAACACCACAGGACTGGGGAGACAGACAGTAGCTGCTGCTGCCGCCGCTGCCGCCACCACCACTACCACCTCCACAGCAATAGCATCTGAGAAACAAGTGGTAAGTGAACACCCCAGGAACTTACCTCAAAAATGAAAGTTTCTGGACTATTAGAAGCAAGTCCCTCTTAAGGGCCCTACTGGAATTCAGCAATGCCCAGAAGTGTTACTGACAAGCTGAAAACATAGACTTGAGTGGAATGAAAAAGAGAGTGTGGGGAGTGAGAAAGGACAGAGAGGAGAGGCTGGTAGGTGTAGTCGAGTGCCTGCCTTATCTTTCTTTTCCTTTGGGAAGGGGTGGGGTTGTTGGGCAACATAAATGGCTACGTTTTGCCAGTTTCATAGTGCTCTATTCAAGCACATGTCTAGAGTCTGTCCCTAACTTGTATTCTGTAGAATCAGCTATTCCACCAAATGCCTTGAGGGGGCAGGGAGCATCCCATCGGGAAAAGTGTAGCAGACTTCCCATTAAGGAAAGCAGTCCTGTGCCTGCCTTTGCCTTCCAAGCTGCCGTCAGAGCCCTCATTTGGGAACCACAGTCACCAGCATTAGCTGGTGAATCCAGCAAGAAGTCTTTGCTTAGTTTTACACACTGCATTAGAGGTTGAATTTGAAAAAAACACCCAGTAATGACTTTTTAACTCGTCCTGCTCAGTCTCACACTGTCACTAGCATTCAATAGAGAGAGAAACAAAAGACACGTGTATTAATTCAGGAAGTCTTCATTAAAATAGGGCTTTTTGGAACCTAGGGACTAGTGTACACCTTGGGTCACGTTGTGATCTTTCCTCACCTTCTACCCTTCTACCCACTCCCCCTGCTGTGCCCCTCAACCCCCACCCCTACCCTCCCCCCAAGGAGAAATAATAAAGGTTGGTCATGTTTGATACACCAAGTTCCCTTGGGGTGGGGAGGGGGATGTAGAGGAGGGTAAAGGGGGATAAATGGTGATAGAAGGGTGGTGAACACATGATACAATATACAGATGATGTATTGCAGGATTGTATACCTGAAACTTACATAATTTTATTAACCAATGTCATCCTAATTCAATTTTTAAAAAACTCCCCTTAAAGGTCATTTATTTGTATGTTCATTATAGTTTTAATTGTAATAATGAAAAATTGGAAACAACTTTAATGTCCAACAGTGGGAGAATGATTTGATAAGTCATCAGCACAATGGAATATTACACAGTAATTTAAATAGTAATCTCAAAGAAAATTTGGTGACAGAATTATATATACACTAAATTTTGTGATAACATATATATGCAAAGAAAAGTGAAATACCTCAAAATGCTAAGTGGTTATCTCAGGTAAGGTTAGGGTTATTATTACTGTTTTTTGCCTTTCGTTGTCTGTATTTTTATCATTCTTAAAAACAAGCATGTATTTTATAATGAGGAAACAAAATCAGTAGACATCATTTTCACAAAGGAGTCCTGGGCTGTACTTTCATCCTCCCCCTCTTTGTCTCTGTTCGCAGTGTACACAGCCTGTGCTAAATGACCTAATGCCAGATATTGCCATGGGTGTGTCCACATTGTCACTCAAGGACAGGAGGCTTCCAGAGCTTGCTGTAGACACAGAATCAAGCCAGTCAGTTTCTGAAGTAGGACCAGGGCCTCCCCAGCATCTGGCGTGTGTCCCACAGAGGCATATACACACGTCTCGAAAGAAACACACACTAGAGCAAAAGACAGATGCTCGAGAAAATCAGCAGGAATATCCGGATTTCTATGACTTCTCAAATACTGCTTGCAGACCTTCTACTCCTGCTCCTGGCAGACGCACCCCTTCCCCTTCGCAAGGTGGATACTTGGGTCCTGACCTGTACAGCCACAGTAAAGCACCACCAAGTGGCTTAAAGTCAGCCTACCTACCTGGCCAGACCTCTCCTAAAAAGCAGGAAGAAGCTAGGAGAGATTATCCGCTGTCCCCTGATGGGAATCTACACAAACAAAAGAATGAGCCAATACACCTCGATGTCATTGAGCAACCTCCCCAGCGGTCAGACTTTCCTCTGGCCACCCCAGAAAATGCTGGCAGCGGTCCGGCGCATGGCAGGGGGCGGACAGCAGTAGAAACTGACTTGACTTTTGGGCTGACTCCTAACAGACCTTCACATCCTGCATGTAGCTCTGAAGCTCCAGAAGAGAGATCCAGTAGAAGACTAGCTGACAGCGAGTCCCTGGGCCATGGAGCTCAGCGAAGTGTGGATTTGGAAAGGGAGGATTCAGTAAGCAGAGGAAGGAGGTCACCAAGCAAACCGGACTTCCTTTACAAAAAGTCTGCCCTCTGAGAGCAACCTCCATGTCGTCTGTGCCTGAGATGTGAAACATCCCATTTTATTATGTAACCCAGCAACTTCGAGACCCGCTTATTGATGCCAGCTGATAACTCAGTTATTTTATTCCAGTTTTTGTACATACATGTTTATTAGACATGGCATGCTAAGAGGGTTATTTTGAATGCTGCATCTGTCTGTTTTGTGTTTGAACAATTGTGTGGGGAAGCATTTTTAACAGCAAGCAAGCTGGCACTTTTTTTTCTCTTTACAGATGAATTTTTTGCACTTGTCCATTTATTTTATCTGTATTGATTTTATATCAGTATGTTAAACTTTATTGCCGCATTTAAAGGACTGTATTTTCATACTTTTTTGCATTTTGCCATTCATCTACCAATTTCCATGTGCATTGGATTGCACACTAAGATGTATTTTCTTATGAAATAGTTCTGTGTTTATTTTTTAATTATAGAAATTCCAAAGAACAGCACATCAAAATGCTCCTCTCTTTTCAATAATTGTTTTGGTTCAGAAATCTTCCTGCTCAGTCTCTTTAAATCTATTGTCATTCTTTTTTAATAAGTCTGGGGAGCTGGTCTTCGTTCCTTCAGTGGGAGTCCCGTCAGGATCCTGGAGTTTCCTAGTTCACTAGAGAACAGGAAGGAGAAAAGCCTTTGGTACCCAGGCTGCAAAGCTCTTGCTGTGTTCACAGTGCAGACGCCGTCAGAGCCGCTGCAGATTCTGGTAGCATGGACTAGAGGCACGAGATGAGACTCTAAAGAGATTGAGTTCTTAGAATCCTAACGCCGTGGAGATGGCGAAGTAACCTCCAGCCTGCACCACGGGCTTTCTGGTTCCAGCGTCCTCGACTCTCCAGCTGATGGGGAAGTGACTGCTTGCTGCCTTCAGTTGTCTTGCTCTATGTGGGAAAACAAAAAACAAGGGCTTCAGTCTTACGATGTCATTTGGTGTTTGTAAGCATATGTTTTCTTTTAAATGTTTTTTAAAGTGTGTCTGAATTTTGGTGTCCTATAAAAAAATTGTATAATGCATAACGCTTCATTACCAAAAGAGAAAAAACTTTTTTTTTTTTTTTCAGTGAAAACACTACATGTCCTACTTGAACTCCACTAGGGATGCTGGTTTGGGATTTTACTGAACCACTGAGCACATGGGATCTTTAAGATCTTCTCCCTTGGAAGGGCAATGTGTGAACTAAGGACTTTTTTTTACTCTCCAATGTAAATATATTAGTATTTGAGTTTTTAAATCACTTCAACATTATTCGAGCTTTCACTTTGTATTTTTACAGACACATACACACAGCCGTAGCACTTAGAAGAGAAGAGACTTTCTGCACAGTCCCTCAGGGGAGTGTGTGTCTGGGAGTCTCTTTTCTGTGTATGTGTATATATATATATATACATATATATAAAACTATGAATCACTGACACTCACTCTAAAACTATGCAGGGCTAGGGAGCCTTTACAAGCTCACATAAATGAATTACATGCACTTTTAAGTCAATAGGTTTCTATTGGGTGTCAACAACTCTGATTCCTCCCAAAACTGTAGATTCTCTTACATTCTTTTCCTACTTTACCCTGTGGATGTACACTCAGGAATAATCTGGCATTTTTAAAAAATCCTGACAGTAGGTCGTCTCAAAGATGGGAAACATCGGTATGTCTGTGTACACCGGTACACTGCTGCCTCTCGTTCTGCTACCCGACTCCTTAGCTGCTGCTGGTGTGTCCACCCGCGTTGTGAGGTTGCGTACTGAGCTCCAGAGTTAACACTAACCTATTTGTAAGGTCAGCTGTGCATTGCCTTTGAGGCTCCCTTTTTTAAAGACAGAAAAACAGGACTGACTGTTCCATTTTTAGGAGGTTTGACTCTAATAGATGATGGTGTCTTTTGAAGCCAATCTCAGTCTGTCTCTCAGAAGCTAAAATTAATTCCATTATATTCCTTAATGTGTGTTTATATCTTGTGTTGACATGAATTACTTTGATGTAGTTTTAAATATTCTGAATTCAGACGCTACTGTGCTGGTACTACAAATAAGAGTGAGTAGAGTTAATTTGGGTGGAAAAAACTTGATCTGTGTTTTTTAATTTAAAAAAACAATAACAACCTTAGACAAGAGCTATTGATGTCACACATTTATTCTCCTGAAAATTTATTAAATATTATTTCATATCCCCGAAGTGTAATTATAAAAATAAGTGGCCATTGTTCATAGTTTCGTTTAATTTATGAAGTTTGCTTTTAATAATTTAGTAGCTTACCTGGCTGAACTACGTGTACAAAAAGAAACTTACTTTAACCTATGGGATTGTGAGCTGATGTGACTTGCGAAGATAAACAGATGTGGTTGTGTGTGCTCGGGTAGGTGTTAGACTTTCAGTGTGTCTTGTGAAGTGTGCTTAATAGGGTAGGTAGGTTGAATAGCTCTGTGCCTCTGGCTTTTGAACCCATCTATTAAATCTTTTTTAATGCTTACTAAGCATTAGAATATTTTAATGCTGTACTGAGATAAATGTGAAGTCTGAGTAGGATTGCTCTCAGAAAAAACACACATGTACAATGTAAAATTTGGCCACAGGACCTGGCATTTTACTGTGTAGAAATTTTGTGAGAACCAAATCGCAGAGTACCAGATCTTATCTCGAGGCCCCGACAATCAGGCCGTCAGACAATCACCACTTTGGGTGCCCACTTTGTGGAGGTTACAGAACTACTATTTTGTTCCTGGATCACAAAGAATATTGGCATTTCTTCAAGATGCTGTTGGTCTTTTTTTTTAGTTTTGTGATTTCGATGAACAATTTAAGTTCAAAGTCACCTGTGACTCCTAAGGGAAAAAAGCATGAAAGGCGAAATTACTCCTGAAAAATGGTCGTTTGAATTTTCCACATACCATACCCTTTTTCACCTGCCCCCTCAGCGTTTTTGAGGCGTATGTCCCTAGACCTAAACTCTTCTGACATTTTGATAACCAGTTAGACTTTATGGATTTTTAACGAGGTCCTTTTGTTGAATCCTTTTGTATAACTCTCTGAAACTTCATCTAATTCTCAGTTTTGCTCCCTCGAACTCTGTTTTTATTATAATTGCTATCCTTTATTGGGGTTTCTTTTGATTGGTTGTTCAAGTTCTGGCAATGGGCAATACTTGTCCATTGAATTAAGGTGATGGTGTGGAGTGTGAGGGGAACAGCCTTGAGGCAGCAGGGCCTGCATGTGTCCATCTCTAGAGAAGAAGGTCTAACATTTCTCAGTAACTACTCAGCAAAATATGTATTTTCATAATGTTTAATCTGCCTTTTAGGAAATATGTTTCATGAAACACTTGTAAGGTATTTGTTTTGCATTTCTAAGGCATTCATGTTTATATCTTAGGACTGAACTCAAAGGGAAATGTTTGAATTTTAAAAAATTATTTGATTCACTTCTTTCTATTGAAAGTTACTATTAAAGCAGCAGTGATGGGTGCTATTCCCGATTCTGCAGTGGTTTACTTCGTCTACTAAGTAATTTACTTTCAAACCTCATTACAGATAACCTTACTGAAAGAGTTACCATCACACACTAAAAGGTATTTTACTGCTTTCCATCAGCACTGTTGAATGAGCAATGTTTTCTGAATGTTCAGCTGTCTTTTTGTCTGATAAATTTGCAATAGCTGTTATGTAATTCTTATATTGGCAGGTCTTTGATATTTTTTCCTCCAGAAAACTCTGACCATCTGTCAATCTTCCATATTCTAAATATTATATTGCTGTGGCTGTTTCTATAGAAAGATTACTTGCAAGTGTGTGTCTTGAAAATAACCTCTTGTGTTTGTGTGTTTATGTGAGCTCTCAGAGATGAGCTCTGGAAGCTTCGTCATGTCCCTGCACCTGACTGTTCTGTAAGCAGGTGGTCTGGATCCTGCTCTTCGATGGGGTGGCTGAAAGGTAAAGGTTCTTGAACTTCTTGCTGTTTATGTCCCGCATCTATACTTCAGAAGTACTTCTACAACACTGCATTTCTTGTGGTTGTGCTGTTACTGGTATAAAGTCAAGTGCCTTCAATGCTAAAGGCTCAGAAATTTTTCTTAAACTGATTTCATGTCCTATGCAAGTGTTTTCTACAACCTGCATAACCAGTACTTTGTAAAACTTGTTTACGCTTCAATTGTACATAGTGTTTTTTAAGGAAATATATAGTATTTTTATTTAGGTACCTCCAAACTTGAATTTGTCTGTGTGAAGCATTGTAAAACGATACATCTCTCTTTTGAGTATCATTACCGTTGTACAAAGGTTTTCACTGGTTCTATTTTTCTACTGTTACTGATAAGCATGTAACACTGACTTTATCCTACATATAGTTGGCATTTCAAATAAATGGCTTGTATAGAACCTGCTGAGTTGGATGCAGTCTGTTTTAGCAATGTGGCCTGCAGTCCTCAATTCCAGAAGCGATTGTACCCTCTAGAGTAAAATTGGGAAGTTTTCTCACAAACTTCCCCTCTGTTTCTAGGATTGCCATTATTCAGAGGCTTTTTTTTATTGTTTTCTTGGAAATATATTTTCATTTGAATCAAGGTCATTATATTTTCTACTTTTTCATTGGGGCACTTCTGAGAGATTTTATTTTACAAATTTGAGCAAAAAGTTACTTGCATGGGAGTCTCCAGAGGAAGCTCAACATTCCACCATGTGGACCCAGCACCTGGAATGTGCCAAGCGCTGGGGTCAGAGACCAGGCGGATCCCAAGATTCACGGGCCTCCAGGTGTCAGAGACCTGGCTCAGAATCTGAGCTTTTTTTTCTCTTTCACACTCAGGCTTACTAATATTTTTCAATTTGAAAGGGAAATGGAGTCATGATCTAGACCAGTGGTTCTCAACCTTCTGGCCCTTTAAATACAGTTCCTCATGTTGTGACCCAACCATAAAGTTATTTTCGTTGCTACTTCATAACTGTAATGTTGCTACTGTTATGAATCATAATGTAAATATCTGATATGCAGGATGATCTTAGGCGACCCCTGTGAAAGGGTCATTGGACCGCCAAAGGGGTCGCGACTCACAGGTTGAGAACTGCTGATCTAGAGTCTCGGTTTCTGAAAAAAAAATATGCAAAATAGAAGGTTCTCTAATTTCCATTTTTTAATTGCTATAAAGTAGTTATTATTTAAATTTAATCATTCTACTAACAAGTTCCATCTTATTTTGCCCTTCATGCTTCACTAAGGTAATCCTATAACCATCTTAGGTTTAACTGTGGAGTATCAAACAAAAATCAGGTTTTTGTGAGTGAGCATCTTAAAAACCTAAAAAAGAAAATCGAATAAGTCAACGTTCATGTCTTTACTTGTGGATTTCCCCTGGAAGAGTTTAGGCTGGCTTCCCTCACTACCTTAGGCCTTATTTCTTCTTAGTGCATGAGGGAATGTTTGAATCTACTCTTCCCAGGAATCTGGAGCCCCAGACAAAACAGATAGGATACCTAGTCTCAGAAACTTGGAAATGACTTTGTCGTGGAAACAATCAGAACAGTATATTCTGATTATCTGGTGATCATGGCTGAGGGGAAGGCTGGCTTGAGGTGGCCCAGGAATGAATGAGGAGAAATATGCTGGTTTCAGTGCTGTGCACTCTTTTCTTCTTCAATCATTTAATTAGGTACTGTTTTCTTTAATCCTTCCTGAATTACATACTATTTTTGGTGCCATTTTACAAATGAGAAAACTGAAGCAGATACCCAGTAACTTGTCCAAGGTCACGCAGCTAATAAGCCTAGAAAGTATGGTGGCCCAGGCAGGGGGAACATACTGTGCAGGGTGGAGGTAGGCATTCCTTTGGTTCAGCAAACATCAAATAAGCAACTTCTACCTGCCAGACACAGCTAGGTCCTGAGGTGACAGTAATAACCAAGCCAGCCACAGTCCCACCCATTGCAATTTTAGGATCTCAAGGAAGAAAAGACAATTACAGCGGTAAGGCCGGTTCTTGGATTGGGAAGACTTCAAAATGCAGGTAAAGGAAGTCAGGGTGACTGGACGAGTAGGGATTCTGGGGAGGTTTCCAGGAAGAGGTGGAGGCTGAGGCAGGCTGTCTGAGCACTAGGGAAAGCTTCGTGGTGTCTGGGCTCACCTTGCCAGGCCTCAGAAGATGTTGCTACTAACAGCAACAGGAAGCTGCTACGGGGTTTTGAACAGGGACGAAATATAATCGAATTGGCATGGTCTGTTGCTCGATTGAAGAGGAGCAGGAGTGGATCAGAAAATCAGGCAGGGGGCTGGCAGCTCTCCAGGGGACAGCCCGAATAGCTCAGAGAACCAAGAGGATGATTTCAAATATGAATATGATTAGGGCATAATATCTGTAGGACTTGACGATTGGGTGTGGGGAGAGCAGAAGGCATCAGATAGGGGAAAGGGCATGAGTTTAATGTAGGTCTCCGTTCCCAGCCTTGCTTTGGGAGACTGAGCAGAATTCATGTTTCTTGGAAGATTTAGAAAACCCTGGAGGAGTAAAGATGCTGGAAGACTTGGTTCAGTTCTGTCGTTTATGTTCTCCCCACTATGGACCCTGGCCCAATGCCTGCCACATGATGGGTGCTACACCGTTTGTGAAATACACAAATGGGAGTGCTCATTTGTACATCAAAGGTTTGCTGAGCACAGCCACAAGCCGGAAGCTTTTGTGCACATGATCTCATTTTGTCCACCCACAATGACCCTAAGAATATAATTGTCCATCCCCATTTTACAGATGTGAAAACTGAGGCTCCAAGAAGGTGAGGTTCCACAGCTAGTTGGTGACTCCAGGTTCAGGTACGTAAGCAGCTCTAAGGCTGCAAGGAGCCTTCACTCACCTGAGCATAATTCACGGGGTGATGCCCACTGGTCTGACTTTCCTAGGAAGCAAGAACTGGGGGAAGGCCAAAGATGGCCTCTATATTGACTTTTTGGTTTGTTTTCACATCTGTTGAAATAATGGCCACCATTAGGTGGGCCTCATGTTTTCCCTGTGGGTTCCTAGCCCTCTCTCCTGCACAGTAGCACCTGAACAAACAGATCACTCACAACCCAAGCCCATTTCTTTGTTCTGCTGTTGATTTAGATCCCAACAGGGACTATGACAGCTCTCTCCAGGTGTTGTAAAGTCAGGGACCTCAGGCCAGGCCACACCTTATGAAATAGAAATGAACCACTCCCCTACCTGAGCAGGACCCCAGGGGAGGAATAGCTCTTGGAAGTATACTCATTTCCTTATAAGAGGCACTGAGAGGTTGTGCACATTTAAATAACTAAAAACAATCTGAAAAACCACTATTTTGAATTGGTTTTATTTAATCTTACAGAAACCTGATTGGGAGTTTGGTATGTAGTTATAAGTCCAGTAACAATTCTACAAAAATGGACATACAATGCCGGAATTCCTTCAAAGCAACAATATCATAGTCCTTTGCATAAAACATGCATTAACTGCCACATGTTGGCCAAAATCCGTCTCCCTGAGAAGAGACGGTCCAATGCACTCAAGAAAACTAGCTATGAACAACAGGTACAAAAGGAGGTGTTCTGGTTAGTGTAAAAGGAGGAACAGTACCTTTCAGAGAACAAGCCCTTCGGCACTGGGGGATTTGTACTGTGTTGCAATGTAATGCGTCACCTCAGACCTGGTCCTGACCTGTCAGAAGGAGGAACATTCTGGTAGTTACACATCTGAGAAGATATAAACTTGCAGGCCACAATGGTCCACTACTTGTGCAACCTTGCAGAGGGGGCGCAGAAATCCTGACTTGGAAGAGTTCCCTAGCTGGGGTTGTAAACAAACTCAGACACTATGAGCTTTCCAACCCAGCCTTTCACCCTTTTCTCCAAGGCCAGCCCCGGGCACACAGCATCTCCGTGGCCATAAGACCTCCAGCTCCACACCCTCTTCATGAGGATCTGTAATTGGGTATGATCAGAGAAACATGGGATGGATCATTTCTTTGAGGCCTTGACTTTCCGTAGTTCTCACTCACCGCATCCAGGGATCAGTGGACACTCATCTACATGGCTGCTGAACACACAAAGGGATATTAATAAACACTTGTGGCCCCAAAGCCTCAAATGCTTGTAATCACATAACTCAGTTTGTCATCTATTGTCAGGAGAGACCTTGTTCCTCCAGAGCAGGGGTGGGGAACCTTTTTTCTGCCAAGGGCCATTTGGGTATTTATAACATTATTCACAGGCCATACAAAATTATCAACTTAAATATTAGCCTGGTATATTCGGTCAAACATTTAATTAGCTTACCCCTAATGCCTTGGCAGGGCCAGACCCAATGATTTCCATGGGCCTTATATGACCCAGGCCAGACGTTCCCCAGCCCTGCTTCAGAGGAAGCAACTCCGTTTACCAAAGGGTGTTTTCCCCATAGATTGAAGGGCTTTTAAGAGATTTCAAACCAACTGAAAGGACCTCCCTTCCAATACGGGTTTTATACAGCATTCCTTGAGGTTCTTCAAAAGATCTTAGTCATTAGGGAACCAGTTGTGGGCATTAACGCTTACGTACATAAAGCTCATCATTCGCGCAGCCTAGGGAGTCTGCCTCTCCCACAAAAGGGCTCTCGCTGCCCTGCTCACAAGTAAGCTAAGCCAGTATCTTTTCCTTCACAAGTTAAGGGGGGAAATAATTTATTAGGGTTCTAATAACATTTTCATAACAGAACAATATCAAAATAGGTTTGTTTTTAATATATGCTTACGAATATCCCTGATAATATAAAGAAATCCAGAGGACTTTGTAAACCACCGAGATGTCACAGGGTAGCGCCCGGTCTGGTTTCTAGGCAGCAGGAGAGGGACTACTGTATGGCATGTTTTCTCCAGGAAGCCCTGTGAGCACCACAGTTCTGAAATTCTAACATGCTAGTGCCAGCAGAACTGTGAATGACATTTTCACTTTAAATTTATTCGTAAAATTCCTATCAAAGGTTGGCTTCCTCAATCCTGCCATCAGCCAATCTCCCTGCCTATAACAGGCCACAAAACCATCAATCCTGGCCACTCCAGAGGCTGAGCCCAGAGGAAACAAGTTGTGAGACCCCTTGTAAGCCGTGACCCAACCTCAGAAAGCAGGGATGTGGGAGAAGGAGCAGACCAGGCTTGAGGAAGCTCTGACCCAAGGCACCACGATCACAGGGGTGAGGGGACCTAGAGAGGTTCTAGCTGCAGGAAGATGCCCCCAAAGCAGGTCCTGGAAGACAACAGCTCTGTGGCAGAGTAGACACATTCGGGAGTTAAAGACCACAAAAATTAGAAAAGAAACTAGTTTACTCTCTCAAAACCAAATCAAACTTCTTAAAACTTATAAGCAAATAACCCTGGATAGACTGGGGGTGTGGTGGGGGCTGAAGTCTGTGGAATGAGTTGCTTTTAGCTGAGTCAGAAAGAATGCTGGTTGTGAAATCAGCATAAACACTGTGGCTACTGCAGTTAAGGAGAGTGAAGGAAGCTCAAGGTCAGAGGAGGCCTCTTCAAAGAGAGGATGGAAGAGGAGCAAATGTGAAATATGCCTCTTTTATTCCTGGATCAGTAAGTGGCATTTCCACCGCCTGGCTGAGAAGGCGCCTGGCTGAAAAGGCGCCGTGCTCCAGTCTAGCTGCAATAATACTGCATCCCATCCACCCTTCTTCTCTTTTTGGACTGAAACTCTTCAAAGAACTGCTGGATGTCCTCTCTCTTTACAACCTGTTGATGAAAAGGAGATTAGGAAAGGGAACTACATTACAGAACAACAATAACTGGTCGTAATGTTCACACACAAGTCAATATTGCTGTAAGGATTATTTTAATGGGTAATTAATTACATTATCTCTAGTTTATAGAGTTCATCCAGGCCCGTGGTCGGCAAACTGTGGCTCGTGAGCCACATGCGGCTCTTTGGCCCCTTGAGTGTGGCTCTTCCACAAAATACCACGTGCGGGCGCGCACGTACAGTGCGATTGAAACTTCGTGGCCCATGCGCAGAAGTCGGTATTTTGTGGAAGAGCCACACTCAAGGGGCCAAAGA